ACTGCACCGGTAGATCCGCGACTTTCTTGTTGGACGAAAGTGTAGGGTACAGGTCGACGACCATCTAACTGACTGGTACCCCTCTACAAGTGGCGTGCCTCAAGGCACTGTGCTGGGGCCCACTCTGTTCCTGATCCACATCAACGATCTACCGCAGCTTCTTCGGTCGCCGTGTGCCTTGTTTGCGGACGACATGAAGATTTGGAGAGAAATCGACGCTCCCGATGACTGTGGCCTACTTCAGCAAGACCTCAACCGCCTATCCACATGGTCTGCAGAAGTTCTGCTCCCGGTCAACCCAGCCAAGTCTGTATTTATGAGCCTGGGGAAGAGTGCTAATGACCGAACCTACACCCTTGACGGCCAAACGCTATATCCCACACCCTCCGTGAAGGACCTAGGTGTACTCTCACCCTACGATTTGAAGTCCGTGGACAACACGAACAGGCTATATCGTAACGGACTGCGCATGCTTTGGGCGCTCAAACGTAGCTTCGGCACGGTCTGAAGAGGTTGCCACTCGCCTGTTCTCTTCTATCATTAGACCAATGCTAGAGTACGGTTCGCCCGCCTACTTTCCGATTACCCGAGGTGAGGCACAAAAGATCGAACGGGTCCAACACTTTGCTACCAGGCTCATCACGAGTTTACGTGGCTTGGGGTATGAAGACCGGTACGAGAAACTAGGACTCTACACCTTGTCCTACCGTCGGGTGCTCGTCGACCTCATTATGACCTAACGTATTCTACATCTCGGTGACTTCCCAATGCTAAGGCCAATGCCGCACTTCCGAGTTCCGTGCAGCACACGCGTACACAGATACAAACTTGTCGTGCCGAATGTGAAATGTGTTCCCCACCGACTGTGCTTCGAACGGAGAGTGGTAAACATTTGGAACAGTTTGCCTGAACATGTGATTGAGGCAACATCTGTGCAGCAGTTCAAAACGTTGTTAGATTTGTATTTTGCCACTATTCGATTCAGAGAACGACTGCACACTTAGATGACATTTCACATTTGTGGATCCTGAAATATCGTAAGTCGAATATTTTAAATATTACATGAGAACGACAACGATATTCACGGTTGACAACTTTTATAACGTTTTTCACCATATTTCGAAAGAGTTGTACAGAATCCATTTCTACTTGCTCTATAATACAGTATTCAGTATTCAGTATACTGTTCTGTGAGTTCCAATGAGTGAAGAAACCTAAAAATATAGCTCAGCAATCCATGCACATTTTACTCCCTGAGATATTCCGGGTTTTGGTTTTACGAACCCTCTCTCTCCCCCCACCCATCATTTTCACTACAGTACGATTTTCTTCGAAAATATGATAGTCCAGTTGGTGCGAATTTCGCGATAGGATTGGTCGCACCCACCTCGCTTCGAGCTTGCTTCTCACCGCCGTATTATAGACATACTGAACTTCCAGTGCGCGTCACCATCAAGCTGACCGATTATAATGTACAAGGAAGCAGAATTCCAGACCATGCTGATTTTCGTGTGTGTGATCCGATTGGGTTTCATCCAACTTAACTCGTTGAACTGTACAGTAGTACTAGTTGCGGTAATGGTGGCAGTAGTAGTTTACTGAGTTTACTCGACTTTCACAAATTGAGCACTACCAACCTCTGGCATTTCTTGAATGTATTGACAAAGCTTCCAGTGGCCGTCAACCTTTGCACCCAGATCGAGTCAGTGGCTGGTAGTGCAACCTGCGCAGACTCTGTGACGCTTAGTTACTCGTTTAATAGCGATGCTATAATGCACCTTGCGACTGATTCGAGCCGAACCAGCAGTAATCAGTAGTCGTCGCCGTAACGTTCTATGAGTCATAAATTGCAAAATTCACAAACGCATTTTAAACAAATCTTTCGGGAATCTCCCCCACTATGCCGCACTAGTGAGTGAACTTTCGATAGACGGTAATCCTCGGGTAATACTCTCGCAGTGTCCCACATGATACGACAAAGTTCACCCTGCATTCTGAATATGGCGCAGCTTAAGTCAAGTTTTCTGGAATCTTTAACGAACGGTGAACAAACCGCATCCCATGTTTGAGCTAACGCTCATCACCCACAAAGAATTAGGGGCAGAAATTCGACACCGTGGCTTCTTCAGCCAATAAATGTACCGAGTCTGCTAAGTTGGGTGTACTTTACGATAGGAGATTGATTCCGCTGCCTAATTACGGTGGCTAGCCGACGAAAGCACCTGCCTTGGTAGTGCAAGTGGTGGTTGATCCATAAAGTTGTACCTTAGTGTCTTTGACGTTCTCACGCACCCATGTAGGCGAGCCCAGCGCGATAACCCACGGAAGGTCAGATGTAACCGAAGAGGAACACACAGTTCAACCCCAAAAGTGCATACTATGAATGGGGCTTAGACGTGACCAACCTACTTGATAATTTGGGAATGCAACACTATTATTGTCTCATCATCATACACGCTATCTAGAGGTGGAAAACACCTCAGCTGCTGTGTTACAAATATGGTCTAAGAAATAGTAATTTCATTCTTCGTCTTATAATGCCGCAAGACAAAGAAATGTTGACTGATGGAAGAGTGGGGCATGCTATAATGACGCTTGTTGCTCCTATGGGTAGGCCGCTGACCGAGAAGAAAGCGTGCTTCGTACAAGACTGTGATGTCGGCATGGGCGGAAGACAAGTCGCACTAGATATAGTCACTAGCGGAATATGTCCTGGTTGTCAATCCCAGTCACGATCTACGAGTGACCACCACATTTTGTGATAGCAGACAAGCAGTTGGGTTCCAAACGAAGCGAGGTAACGTACGTTATACCCTATCCTATCAATCACGTTAAGTGCGATTGTGTTCATTTCCAGTGCACAAGTGATGGCTGAAGAATGAAGGTGGGGTTGTTTCGAGTTATGGTGTAATAATAATATGGCAGAAACAGACAAATATCATGCGGGAATGTCGTTAGCAGGGAGATTTCATAAGAAACACAGGATACCTCACCTAAGTTCTCTAGTGAGGACGGTTAAAGTGACTTTCTTGTTGCTAATTTATCCGGCCATGTGGCCTCATCCGAGAAGAGAACAAGTCTCAGGAAGAGGATCCCCTAGTTCGGTTGGTCCAAGTTTCTTGACATCGCCTAGACACGTTAGGGTTTCATATAATTGTGAACGACTTCGGAAAGCAATGTGTTACGAGATAGGTGGCTGGAAGGAATGCAAAATACATGACCTAGTCGCTGTATGTGGTCCAAATTTACCAGACGATCCACCAAACTCCGACTGACGGCTATCGGCGTTGCTCACTGATTGCCTACAGTGAGGCGAACAGCTTCGGTAATGAAACGCGATGCGAATTGATACTCTAAGTGCATGGTGGTAACCGTTTTACTGCATCACATAGTAGCACAGATATTGTACAGCGCTCGCTGTGCGCATTCGCAAAGAACCAATAGGATGGTAGGTTACGGATCTCGTTGATGGCTAAAACTTTGAAGGACCAACTGCATCTACCCAATTTTGTAGTGCTTTGCTGGGGAATAGGATCGCCAGTGACGATACCACTAGTTACATCTAGTACTTCCATATTGTCTGTGAGTGTGAGCGATGAGAAAGCCTAATTGTGCGAAATTAGTTTCAACCTGTACATTCAAGATTATTGTGCTTTGGATCCAGTGACCAGTTGCAACGACAAAAGAAGCGCAGTAAAATAAAAACGAGCAACAACAGCAACAACGCAAAAGGCTCTGTCATGGAGCTAGCAAAGCTCCGCCAAACGCGCAGATTTCGTCGGGCTCACTTCAGGCATACAAGCACCATGTGACGATGCAGACTATGCTGGTAACAACCGAGCTATCACCAGGACGTAGATGTCAAGCGGCAATGAACCAACTGAGCGCTACTCAGGACACATGCATCTTTTATGTACGCTGAAGTGAACCCAGTGAACTTTCTTTATGGCACTACCGTCTCTAGCGTGTCATGCCACAGTGAACCACCTAAGCTCCTGTTGCTGCGGCAGTTACCGCACAAACCCATTCTGACACTAACTGAGATTCCCACAGGACAATCTAGGTGCCTTGCCAACATCCACCTTTCTCTACAGTTTATAATATTCTATCGAGCTATAAGAATGAAGGTGTAGAAGGCATGCCTCGTCTTGGATGAGTCAGTAAGGGAACTTTTGCTAATGACCAGACTTCCTTCTCGTTCGGGTCTCAGTGCAGTTGTACTACGTTACGCGTAATTCGTTTCTGAGCTCAGCTCACGTTTACGTCTAGCAGCGAAGTTATAAATTCGATTGGCTAGTTTGCATGCATGGGGTATTATCTGTGAATAACGTTCGTCCATTCCGGCTGAGTCGAACAACTAGGAGGTGTTGTAACAAGCTCTAACTTGGAACACAAACAAATGCTTTAGGAAGAAATTCATCACATCTAGACTCACTCAGGCAGCCATCACACGCCCGGAAAAGCACTGTACGCGCGTTCCATCATTTCGAGATTCGTCAGCGGTACGCATTCCATCGGACCCTGGTAGCGCTCGAACCCGCAAGTCGACTGTTGCCAGTTTGTGGTCGAGACTACTGAGCTACGGGGACAGCAACGGCCATCGTGACTAAGTTACTAGATGTGATATAGCACCGTTCACTATCCACTGACTTGCACCTTACTGCCTTGCAAAGCAAAGGACAGGTTAACCCCTTCACTAAGTTCGTCGCTTGGTGAGGGGGCTACCCTGTCCTGGTCGTTGCTGTCCTCCGTAACGCAGTAGTCTCAACCACGGACTGGCAACAGTCAAGTTGCGGGTTCGAGCCCTACCAGGGTCTGATGGAATGCGCACTGCTGACGATTCCCGAAAGGAGGAAACGTGCGTACAGTGCTTTTCCGGACGTGTGATGACTGCCTGAGTGAGTCTAGATGTGACGGATTTTTACCTATACCATTTAACTCCGCCTACTACTCCTCTGTAAACAAAGGATTGTTGAGGTTTTTGGAGATAAAGACTAGCTGGATGCGAATCAGGAGATTAGTGCATTTCAAGACAAATTGATCGGTTAATACATGGACTTGATAAGGGCAAATGCGGGGATAAATATTCACGGTTGGAACTGTAATTGATAAATGAGTAATAAGCTTTAACAAGCTTACCATTAAACAGAAGGAACAGGAACAATTGTTGATATAATTGGTAATAATAGCACTATTCTTAGGGATGGCAACAGTTGGATGAGAATTGGGTTAAATGCCCTCCATCTTCTTCCGAATTGCCCCCAGGACCTGGTTGCAACGGGATCGGTTTGCAATCGCGAGACAACCAAGGAAAACAATGTGTAACCGTGATAACTGGAAGCCAGAATGTTGCATGCACGAGTATCAGTCAGAAAGAAAAATGCAATCAAAGAGGTGAAGAGAATGAGAGAGAAAACGGACCATGCCGGTCAAGCGGTTTCCTGATAAGTTCGTCTGTGCCGGACAAAAAGAAGCATTGACGCTGAGATCGGAAGTCCCAGTAAAGCATCATTGTGAATGTTGAAGCCTGTCGCGGAAGACTGAATGGAGGATGATCCAAAAGCTGGGTTGAATCTTAGAGGTGAGGAAGTCTGGAGGCCCTCGATAGATGGTGATACGTGGCGAGGTAGTCGCGCTACTCGGTGTTGTTGGAGGGTGCAGGCTGTGAACGAAGGAACAAGAAGGAACGACGTTAGCTGAGCCGCGGTTATAGTGACATACAAAGTAGATCACATCGGACAGACACGTAGATTTGCTAGGGGAAAGTAAAAGGACTTTCGTATCGGAATGCGGGGTTACAGCTGGAGCGCTGGTTAGTCTTTATATCGAAGGGGCCATGTCTCAATGCTGTGAAAAAGAACGGCTCTCATGAGTGTCCTGCGTACAAAGCCAGTATAACCGGGCTAAGCTTCTTTCAAACACCAATTTCATTTCTAGTAAAACAGACCAAATTTAGAGCACACGTTTCCAGCACTATGAATGGAATTAGCTACCCAGAAGGTAGCTAACTCCATTCCTCCACGTTCAGTATGTAAAAGGCAGGCAAAAAATTGGCAAACAACAATATGTAGTCCGCATGATGCAGATGAGCGAGCATTATTTCAGATAAAGCACCAACGTCTGAATTGTGAGACTCCACGAGGGAGCCTATGATAAATTTTAAACAGCAAATAGGAAGCTGGGTATCCCAGTAACCATCCCTTGGGTTTGGGGAGGGGGGATGGAGCAGCTCGACATGACGGGGCGTAGTTTGATGGCAGAGTACTATCGGACATTGTGACGAAATAGATGCAGCTGGTAAAACCATAGTAGTTGTATAACCGCTGTTACTGCTGCTGTGGCCTGAGAGAGATTATTAATCGGGATCAAAGAAGTACAGGAGAAACGGACACGAAAGTACAAGCGAAGGTGTCATGCTACGTGCAACTGTGTGTGTGTGTGTGTGTGTGTGTGTGTGTGTGTGTGTGTGTGTGTGTGTGTGTGTGTGTGTGTGTGTGTACGCGCTCAACGATCTCGTCGCGACGGGACACAGGTATGATCGTACGGCAATATCAGTCGCCGTCTCTTTGGCAGTTGATTGTACACAACGCCTAGTTCCATGTGCTGCTTAAATAGAAAGTCGGTAGAGGAATGATACCCGGAATTTAAAAAGGGAAGTCAGATAGCAACTGTGATTGGGTCGATCCAAACCTTGATGACAACGGAAAATATCAGTAGTGCACAGCTCAAAAACCACTTTTGCTTAACAGTAGCCGCAAAATAATTGAGTAACGTGCCACATATGGCCAAGAACACCGAAAATTGCCTCAACGGCTCATGGAAAATCATCAACAAGTTTAGAAATTTCCTCCAACTTTTACAACCCGATGAGATCTTGAATGAGTGTACACTGTAGTTGCATCGTAAAAACTAATTCGAGCATCTTCAAGACGAAAAAGCACCACACTGCGGACATCTAAAATATGCGTAGCAAAAACTTACCGGTGCATTCTGCGTATCACAATGTTGTGAGAATGTTTCCACACAACAGATGTGGATGACAGTTCAGTGGGAACATGTATGTCGGCTACCAGTCACACAGGTGGAAAAGCGATCACGAGGATTTAGATTCGATGCCTCGATGGATAACACCTTACTATAACTGCCTAAGACTGAGCAATGCGGCAGCATTCACCATCATCATCCTTATATACGTTAGCTAGGGGTGGGAAACACCTCAGCTACTGTGCCACAATACATAGAAGAAAAAAGGAGAAAAAATGCAACAGGTGCAAGCCGGCTGAGCTACCGGTAACGGATGGGCATCGTTCCGGCAAGATACCAGCCGGCTACTATACAGCAAAAAAATTACTATGAAAAATTATATAAGGTTAAATAATGAGATCGTGGTTGGAGGGGGAGGTAAAGAAGGATGGGGTGGAACAAAGAAACTCACAGCAGGAACGCCACCGAGGTCGGCTCCTAGCCATATCAGCAAGTATATCCAGCCAAACGTGTTCATCGTCTTTCGGACCCCAACCAGGGAGCCGAGACGCTCCAACCGAGGCCAGCTCAGAAGTGAGGGCCTCCATTCCTCTAGACCAAGTCATCGCTTGGCCACTCCTCCTTCCATCCACACCCTCGGCACGCAAGCAACACACATCGCGGGAGTCTGTGGGCTGGTATGCGTAACACGTGGCCGAGCAATCGGAGTCTGACGCGTGAAATAACGGTGCTGAGCGGTTCATTTCCTTTGCCTGTGCTGTAAACAAGGCGTCGAACACGCTCGTTGCTCACGCGGTGTTCCCACCAGATGTGAGCTAAATTACGAAGGTACCGTTGGTCGAACGTAACTAGCCTCTTCAGGTTCGCTGCTTTAAGCGCCCAGGTTTCACAATCGTACAGTAGGGTCGAACGTACCGCTGTATTGTACACTCTATCCTACAGGGCGAGAATGATGTCGCGCCGGCGCCATAAGTGGCGAAGGTTAGCAAAAGCGCCTCGAGCTTTTGCTCTAAGGTTCGTGATCTCATCTTCAATCTCACGGGCGCTGATACAACTTCCCAGGCAGTTGAATTTTTGAACGACTTCTAGCTGATCCCCACCAACGGTCAACATAGGAGGCGGTCCAGGCCAATCTTGGAAGAAGGCTTTGCACTTCGAGGGTGCGAAGCAAAGCCCGAAGTGACGGACAGTCAGTGTTAATCTGTCCAGTGCCGCTTGGTACGTTTGTGAGCTGTCACAGATTAGGGCAATATTATCAGCATACTCTAAGTCGACAGCATCCAAAACCGGTAAAATTGAATTTACAAATCAAAGAGAGAAATCAAACCCAGGCGGTATGCTGAAACGTGATGAGTGGCTGCTGTCAGCCAATGCCAACCCCGAAAGATGCATTTGAGTCGATAGACATAGAGTGCTGGTGGTGTAACGGGGTGACTGACAGACAATACGTGTGCGCTATTAGTCACGGATCCGGCTCGATAAAAGGAGGAGTGACAAAGCCCCAAAGTGCAAAAGCAACCATCGAGACAACTAAAGAAGACAGGGTGACAAAATCAAGTAGCTTGTAGTTAGTTCACACATGATGACACAAAGCAATACGACGTAAATGACCGAGTAGGGTCCAGTCAGATGTCGCGAGGTGGCCCTATCACATTTCACCAGGATGTGCCTTGTTGATCCTTGTTACCATGTGGACGGAAAAGTACAAAAGTTGAAACCGGTAGGCACGCGTTACGCCAGTTGCTTCTACGCTGACGTTTCCCATATGGTTGGAGGCTTTCAAAGTTTGTTGAGTGACACGTGTCGAAAAAGTAATTTCCCTGGCTCGCCGCCTGATAGCCTACACACATTCAACTTTGTTGGTTCATTCTGGTTAACGTGCCGAGAATTCACCTAGTCTTCGACGAAGAGCGAGTAGAGGATTATGCTATGTGCCTTATAGCTGAACAAGGCAACTTTTACTTAAGTAACGGTTTTCCGTCGCCGGTGGAAGATATCTGCTTAAATGGAATGCATGTTGCTAAACTCGTTAGTGCAGGCTCATCAGTCATCATCTGATCCACATGTCTCTGCCTCGCATGCCGCAGAGTCATAGAATATGGCCTACCGCAATAAGTAACAAATTTTTGCAAACGGTGGTTTAATTGGCAATTAATTGGTGTTAGTGGAAAGGTATGATTTCTACCAATACAAAAAGGTGCACAGACTCTGCACCTTACCGTTAAACTACATCTTCAGTCATCTTAAATGTTCGCCTTATACTCCCTGTTTCGTTGTAAGTTTTGTCCCGTGGTTTGATATGGTGATGCACTCGAAAAAAACACGTCTTTCTAGGAGTGAAAAACAAGCTTTCTATCTGGAATGTTTCGTCAGTTCCTCGATTAAGAGTTCCTAGCACCGGGTGAGGAAACGACTATAGAGAAAACGGATGAGCTTGAATCGATAACATGGCCAATACTTTCTTATCCCAGCAAGCATCATATGAACCTGACCTCAGGAACTCACGGTGAGCCGCCAACCACAGCAACCAGGGGGATGGTAGTCACGGTGGTAACAAGGACAAGCTCGAACAGCGTAGGCCAACCTCACTTCGAAGTGAATAAACAACTCACGCGTTTAATCTCGGATTTGCGTAGATTCATAGCCAATTGGTCCAACATTTTCTCAGCCTCGAGTACTTCAGGTGAGCGATAAGTGCGAGCCTTCATTTCGGTGCCTAAATTGAACAAAGAAGTGCGAAAAGAAGACTGAATGGGATGCACCATGTGCGCTGCGTAATTAGTTGTTATCCCGGTCATTCTCATAGTGCAAGGTTGTACAAATATCGAGCCCAACAAGTCAGCTCAGTGCCTGTACGACAATGCGTGCCACAAATGGACACGGAAGTGTTCGGCAGGATGGAGAAGACTGCGTGCAAATAGAAAAACCAAGGACTGGGGAAGATGGATTGAGCCAGATTGTAGTTATGGTAAAAGGGACGAGGAAGCACGCAGGTGAGTGTATATTAGAATGACAGAAAGTGGCGTACATTTGGACTTCTCACTTATGGAAAAGGGACCATTCATGGACTTCGTTCCCAAAGATGCCGGGTGAACAATGAGGGAAAGAGATATTGAAAACGACGGAGGTGCGTCACTGATGAGAACACAAGACATCTAAGGTAACGGATGAATTACTCTATGCGCCTCAAGGCTTTGATCATGTTGAACGCAGCGAATGCAGTACTGCCACAATCTCGTACACAAACATCAGGGTATAACGCAGTGTACTAACTCTAATGGGGCAATGAGAACAAAAGGTCGATTCAGTCAGTTGAACCGACGGTGCGTCCGGGATGTGTCTACCGATTTTCATTGACGCACCATAAATTGCCGCACATTGCGCGCACTGAGAAAATCCCTTGAAATTCTAACGGCAGTCCAGAGATCCAATCGGTTCTCACACGATGCACTATGCACACAAACGGCGTCTGCGTACCCCAAACTACATACGGTGAGGCGCAGACTACGGATAATTGAACGATCGATACATTCTGGTCAGTGTTTGAGAACAGAATGTTTCGCGGAAAACTGGATGCCTGTGAGCTCTGTACTGACCGATGTTTAGCCGTAGTACTGAACCTACCGTTATGTACAGGGTCTACTGTGGTAAAAATTGGACATCGCGTTGTCGGACGAACGTGATGCACAACTGGCGCTATTTCATCACAGCTATGTTCCCATTAGAATAGACTGACTGACGTACACCTGAGCAATAGTTTTTCGATGTGCCCGAATTTGTATCAGAGGTAGTTTTAAAACACAGTTATGGTGGGCACGCCGGTAGACTGAAAACTAGCTTCCAAAGAACCACTGTAGGAAAATAGTCACCACTTTCAACTAGACCTTTTACATTAGGAATAGCAATGACTTGGTAAAGAAGTATTTTCTCGCTTTTAGTATTTTGTTTCCCTGTGAAGTGAGCCAAGTCCTATCTGCAGTTTTTCATTCCTAAATAACCTACGATATTTACAGATACCCCAGTTGTTTCGGCTCAGTTAAGTGCAGTGGATAAATCATGAGCCGGGCACCGAATTGCCGTGGATGCAGTTGCTACGACTCGCGTCTCGAGATTGGCAAAAATGCGGTTAGACTTAAATATGTTATTAGCAGAATGGGTGCAAGAACGAGGTGTATGAAGATAATCGCGTTGAAGTATGGACAGTTAAACGCAAGAGAACGAATGCAGGGGCAACACTAACTCAGACAGTGCGCCACGTCCGATATAGTCTCTAACCATTGGTTTGGATTAGCACGATGCCCCCATCCACGAAGGCCGCACGTACCTTCATGACGAAGTCTCTCGGTCAATTTCTTTATACCTCTATGCCACGTCATCGATTGAACACCTCGTGGTTTCGCCCACTTTGGTGCAGCGACGGTGTATAATACTCGCCGAGGAAAGCGGTTAACTGGCGTACGGAGTATATGACCTAACCAATGTTAACGAATCAAATACAACAGCCACTGAAGTAAAGAGCCGGAGGGTTTCTTGGAAAAGCCAAAACTGGCGGACCTTAGCATTGCTCACCGTGTTCCCACCAGATAGGTGCAATACTACGTGGGACCTGGTGATCAAAGACGGCCAACCGTTTGATGTCTTTCGTACGAACTGATCAAGTCTCAGTAGCACCGGCTGAATCGCAGTTGTTCCCGGAAGTGTAGCTGTGCCACACACTGAACCATAACATCCACGAACTTAAAAGGAATTCCCATTTGTGAGGGTCTTACCACCAAGCGACCTTCCATCTTTTGTCCCCAACGCAGGGTCTCAACCACATCACTTTAACCGCGGAAGCTGTCCTGCAAAAGCTGACATTTCTGCGAAAACGCAGCTCCCCTGGTGCGCATACTACGCCCCCAGAAGCACTGGGAGCAGCGTCACGACAACTGGCAGAGCTGCTGGCTCAGTTCTTTCAGCGGTAGTACTTCATCCTGTACTGTCCAAAGTCATGGAGTCCATCGTTGCCGATGCAGTGGTATGCTATCCTGAAAACTGCAAAATCATTGCTCCCGAGCAACAAGACTTTTGTAGACAGCGATCGTGTACAACAAATTTACTGATAACCCGGAGTAGCTGGACCGAGTCAGCTGATGCTGGAAATAACGTCCATGTGGTTTACTTGGATTTCTCAAAGGCATTCGACCGCCTGGATCAGAGGATTCTCCTCTCCAAGCTGCAGTATTACGGTATCGGTGACCCACTTTTAGCATGGATCGCCAACTTGCGCCTACAACGACAGCTGGTGGTTAGAGTTCGAAACTCATTATCGAACCCTTTACATGTTGAATGTGGCGTGGTTCAGTGCTCTGTTCTAGGGCCACTATTGTTTTTGGCATTTATCAACGACCTGGCACAGACGATCAGTTCAAGTTCTCTAATGTTTGCTAACGACATCAAGATATGGCGCAGGATTCAGTCGGATGCCGATATGGATATGCTGCAGCATGACTTGGACATGGTACAGCAGTGGCCTAAAGAAAAGCTGCGGAGTTTTTTACGTAAGCAAATGCAAGGTACTCTTCATACGACACCAGTGTACCTACTGCTACATGCTCGGAACGCAATTACTGCAGCGGGTTTCCGTCGAACGCGACCTGAGCGTGCTGGTTCAGGACGACTTAAGTTGTTCCCAGCAATCCGAAAAGGCATAGAAAACTGGTAATCAACAACCAGGTAATCTGTAAGTATCGCAGGTTATTTAGGAATGAAAAACTGCAGATAGGACTTGGCTCACTTCACAGGGAAACAAAATACTAAAAGCGAGAAAATACTTCTTTACTAAGTCATTGTTATTCCTAATGTAAAAGGTCTAGTTGAAAGTGGTGACTATTTTTCTACAGTGGTTCTTTGGAAGCTAATTTTCAGTCTACCGGCGTGCCCACCATAACCGTGTTTTAAAATTACCTCTGATACAAATTCGGGCACGTCGAAAAATTATTGCTCAGGTGTACGTCAGTCAGTCTATTCTAATGGGAACATAGTTGTGATGAAATATCGCCAGTTGTGCATCACGTTCGTCCGACAACGCGATGTCCAAGTTTTACCACAGTAGACCCTGTACATAACGGTAGGTTCAGTGCTGCGGCTAAACATCGGTCAGTACAGAGCCCACAGGCATCCAGTTTTCCGCGAAACATTCTGTTCTCAAACACTGACCAGAATGTATCGATCGTTCAATTATCCGTAGTTTGCGCCTTACCGTATGTAATTTGGGGTACGCAGACGCCGTTTGTGTGCATAGTGCATCGTGTGAGAACCGATTGGATCTCTGGACTGCCGTTAGAATTTCAAGGGATTTTCTCAGTGCGCGCAATGTGCGGCAATTTATGGTGCGTCAATGAAAATCGGTAGACACATCCTGGCCGATTTGGCCATGACGCCGTTTGAATATTTCCAGCAGCTGGCATGCGTCAAGCATAGTGAAAGGTGAGGAATGATTGTTCACTGTTATATTTACACCCAAGTTAGATTTTATGAAGGAAATACATTACGAGGAGATCACTGTAACAGAATTAGAGGAAAACGTCGTCTTAATGTCTACAACATGCCGCGATTGAAGTTGAAGGCGACACAAATCCCAACAGCGTCCTCGATAGGCCATCTAGTTTAGTTTTCATTTATGCTCATGTGTGTTGACCAACACTTATATGCAACGACATCTAAGGCAGTGTAGATGGAGCATGCTCATTTTCTACATACGGGTTCATGAAGATGGAACGGCTGCCGTATAGCAGTTGAACTGCTGACGGCTCCCAATAACTGGGATGTCATACCATGTAGCAAGGTAGCCAGACTTGATGTTAGTAAGATGCATTGGTAATTCCAACGCTTACGAGCGCAGAGGTCCACGGGTTCATTAATCATGGTGTGCCCGTGGCATCATCCGGTGAAAACGGACGTTGCTTGCATTCGAACGGCGTGTAAGGAATATCTACAACGTTGTAAGACCCAACACTTTAACACAATCAAGAAGACGGTGGCTATGTTGCATACTGTCGCTTACTTTGAATTACCAATTTAGGTTGCCTTGGCGACAGGACTCATGGGAGCCGGATCACCGATACATGGGTACTCCAACTACAGACTATGAGTGGAGTACGGGTGAAACGACGAGACATCCCTGTTTGTCAGTGATGAAAGACATCTACTGTACAAGAATGGCAATTGCGTCTGATCACTTGGGCTTACGAAACATCCGACCCGCCTGGTATGACGGCAGATACAGGGACCCGTGGGTCTCATCTGTTGAATTGCAGCAACAACCCAGTGTGAAATCACTGAATTGGCTCATATACAATGTCGATTTCGGCTAGTTCATGGGCCTCACAACCACCGTTACCTCAGGGGACTGGTTGTGTCCTGAAGGCTTGGTTGAAAAGATAGCAGTGGGCTTTAGGTTCAAGTCAAGTAAAAGTAAGCTTTATTCACCAATATGGGCGTGTTTTCAGCATATTCGAACGAATACTGCGGAATATAATACAATAAAGTATCAATGTGAAATGAAATTTGACAGCAGTTGCGTCTTCAATCAAGCGAGCGTACGGTCATGAAAACGGTGTTTCATTCCCGAAGGGTCGATTAGCATGCGTGATAGATAAGGCAGGTGGAGTTTTGATACGACAAGGTACGAGAATATAAAACTTTAAATTCAGACCGTGTGGAAAAAGTAGACAG